CCTGCATTAGTACTGACAGAATGATACCACCAAAGAGGAATTAGGTACTTACATCCTATTGACATCATTCTTTCCACAAAAAACTTCATGATAGAACTGAAAGTATCGAAAGATTGGCAGGACTTGGAATGAGATCTCCTGTAAAACCATCTAAAAGACCCAATGACTGAGACACATTAATGCCCCTGTGTGTACGTTCAAGCTCAGCAGCTGTACACTTACTGTTTTTCCACATCAGCTTGTGGCTACAAAAGCTTTTCAGGCTTATTTTTACTTAATTTGAAGTTGCTTTTCCAAATTAATCAGCAAGTGTATGTTTACTGCTGGCCTGACAGCTCTGGAGGCTGAGAATCACAGCAACCACAACTCAGGCAGTAACAACGTGAGCATCTCACACATTTGTCATGTCCCTAGTTTGGAGCTTCTGGTGCACAGTCTGGATAAGTAGGAACAGATCTTCAGTGGCCATAAATTGGCCCATCTCCATAGTGGCCCCAAATATGGAGCAACTCCTTGAGCTGTTTAAGATGCCATCATCCCTTGCTGAGGAAAGACTGAATGCTGAACTGGGGTGCTAGGCAATGAGAGAGGGAGCTGACATTAACTTCTTTAAAAAACATTTCTAATCATAAGATTTTCAGTACTCTAGATTTTTTTGTTGCTGGTTTGGAACTGTGTTTTATAGTTATTATTGACGGAGAGCAGCTTATGGTCGTGGTGTACAAATACAGAAGAGCCATGGTCTCACAGCTAAAAGGTATTTAGAAAAGTCCTTCAAGTCACTTTTAAAAGCTAACTTTGGTCCTATAATGTGCCTTTTAGGAGGGAGCAAGAGACAATCTTCTCTTACAACTCAGCGAAGATCCTAATTATCTGAGCAGCTGTAAACCTGTGAAAATGCAACAGTCTCTGTCAAGTTTAGTGCCACTTAGAAGAGAGTTTGTTATGGAAGCAGGCTCTGGATCCTCTCTGGTGTTTTTTTATTATCTTTGTGGTCATTAAATGGGTCTGAACTGCAGTGAGCTGCTGCTGTATTTTGGAAGGATATGGATTCCTGTCTGGTTTGCAAAGCCACGTCATAGCCATATAAGGGTACCACCCAGACATGAACATATAGCTGACTCAGAAGATTAACAAGTCAGTATGTGACTGGAAAAACACTCTCCTTTGCATTTCTCTCTGGAAACATCTTGAAAGCTTTCCCAGGGGGTCTCTACCTCTAACTGCTGGTATCCAGTGCTCTGCTAACTGTCCCAATATTCATTTAGGAATATACAAATAAAGGACTAGAAGAGATGTCTTCAGTCCTGCTATCATAGGAACCACTTCATATAACTATGGAAATAGTTATGTTTTTGCCCCCTCGTTTCTACTGGAAGGCTGTTTCAACACGTCCTTGTTCTGCTAGTTACAAACCTTCTTCTAGAGCCTAATGGAATACTCTGAACACAACTGAGTCTAGTTAGCCGCAGAGGGTGGCATTTGCCGAGACCTCTCGATTCCCTCCATAAAGTAAGTTACAGATACACAGACAGATGGTTCTTTGGACTCTTTTTTTCCAATTGCCATTAAAGCAAAGGTTTTCTCAGTTGTTAATAAGACTAAAGAAAGGTCCAGATCCAGCTCTGATTGCAGACTATGAGCCTTTCCACTGGCAGGAGATGGATCGGGCCCAAACAGCCCATCAGTATTTCCAAATGTTGATGTGTCTCAGGGAAAGTCTGCCAAGAGCCAATATAGCAAGTACTGTAAAGACAGAGGAGACGCTGGAAATCTACACAAAATGCCAACACTTCAGAAGAGTCCACAGCAGGAAGTCATTTGCAAAGGGAGAGAGGGTCATTAGCTGAGAGAAACAGTGTAACTGTTTGCTGAGCACTGTGATTATTACACAGTTTTCTAAAAGAGGAGTCTTTTCTGGTAAACATCTGGGAGATAGGAAAGCTGCAGTTAGGCTGCCACGTGTGGGTCGTTCTACTTGCATGCCAGTTACCCTCGGATGATAAAACCTTGACACTGAAGTGCATCTGGACTAAACTAGAGAAAATGATTTTGAGGCAAGTAGGTCTATTTGCCTGGCTTCATTCTGTTTGTCAAACTGTCTCTGTCTCCCTCTGTTGCTTGCAGGGCTGAACTGCACCAAGGATATACGGCAAAAGTACCACAAATCCCCATAGCTGAGGCTCTCTTTGTGAAGATTCTGTGTTTTTTGAGCATTCAGTATTTTTTAGTGCATATTTTTTGAGCATGAAGTATTTTTTACTTCATCCCTTCTGAGATCTCTCTTTTGCAATGACTTGCAGTGAAGTAGTATGATCTGCCTCTTTTCTCCCCAAATGTTCCTATTGATAGCTTTCAAAATCTGGCAAATCTGGAGACTGAGCACAGAGTAAAGTTAGAATGATATACGCAACTGTATTGTAGTGGAGCCTCTGAGCTGCAGCCAGGGCCCCACTGTGCTTGGTCCTGTACAAAGTCCTTAGTAACAAGCCATCCGTGCTCCAAAGAGCTTACCATCTAGGTCAGTGGGGCCAACCTTTTTTGGCAGGTGTGCCACAAATTAGCCCTGTATCTTCCCCAAGTGCCACTCCAGTCCCCTTCTCCTGCCTGATATACTGCTCTGTTTTCTTCTTTCTGCCTTCTCTGGCACTGTGCTGCCTAACCCCTTCAGGATCTGCTACATGCCACACACACAGGCTGCCTGTACTAACTGTGGCCCCCATACGGCAGATGCCCCCCCCCCGCCCCCAATGTAGGCAATGAGGAGTATTCAAAAACTGAAATGAGCCATAAGCCAATAGGAATAAGGACAACTTTAGTGACACCTTCCGATGATTCAAAACAATCCAAAGGAATAAATCAAACCACCTGTAAGTCCCACACCATGCTGTGCCCATGTTAGGAGCTGTGGGAATCTTGTTGGAAAATACTGTAGCCTTTTATATACACAGAAGGCTCCTTTACCCTCAGGGGAAAAAGCAGGCTGTCCTTCCTCAAAAGAAAGATCCAAACCATAAACTACTTCTAAGTAAGTAGTTGACTACTTCCTGGGTTATGCAGTAAGCAAATTGTTACATCTTGTCTCAAAACTGTGTTCAGTCATATCCACTATGTGCATCTCCTGTTATAACACCTGACATTTCTATACAGCCTTTCAGCATGTATGGTGTCCATAATTCGCTGGATGAGTCATTCCACAGAAGGGAGGCCATATCTTCCTGAGATAGAGCTTGAGGGTATAGACTCAATAGTAGGGCTCTTCTGACCAAGTCAAGTTGAACCAGTATCTCCAGCAAAGTGTGAAGGAGTGCTGGGCTACTAGACATGCCAGATTTTAGATGAGCCATGAATATGGTCATGGATGATTGTGTGATGTTGTTTGGTAAAATGAAAGATTAATTCAGACACCAGGCCAAAATCTATTTTATATTACTGAAGGGAGCTGACCTGGTTTTTTCCTGCAACTTCTAGCATTATCTCCCTTTCCTGCTTTACTGAGGTTGTGAGTTATGCTTGGCTAATATCTACAACACATATGTGGTTCCTGAAATTGAGAGACCCTAGAAAAGGTCAAAAGATGATTACAAACTGAGTATGTGTCTTGGATTCCATATGTCATTCACATAAGGCATGAAAACTTCTCTGAAATGTGCAATAATCCTTCAAGATCATTTTATTGTACAGAAACCTTTGCTTCTGATTGGAGAATTCAACTACAGCTCCTGGCCTCAGCTTGCTTTGCTGTTAGCTTTTTTCAGAAAGTCTCTCACAGGCCCAAGGTGATGGTATGGCATTTCCCAATCTATTCAGTCTTTACAAATGCATACTGGTATTTTTCACCAGTGCATTTACCTCAGAGAAGAGTGATTTAAATCAGTATAAAATTGCATGCATCGGCAGATATCAACCTTTGGAAAGGAGGGTACAGATGGTGAGATGCATCATCATATATAAAACAACATCTTTTTATCCAGTTAAAAATAAACTAGAAGCTTTACCGATATGCTAGGGGCCAAGAACTGGATTATTCAGTTTAAGATTGAAGCAAAAAAATTTTCATTGGAATGATTTTAAAACTATCTGTAAGGCTGTGAAATAGGAGCTTCCTTACCAGGGGCAGCTAATAGGCTGCAGCACTGCAGAACAAAGGCTAGCTTGACTGGTAGAACATCAAGACCATTGCAAAGGAGAAAGGGTCATTAACACCTGTAGAATGAGAAGTTTAGAAGAGATCAGGTAGATGATAATGAGGCATGAAGTCAAGGCACTCCCTCAAGTTGGTTTTCAAATCTGGGTGGAACAGGAATCAAAGGGGGTGGAGGAGAGTCCCTGTCCCCCCACTGAAACCGCTTCTGCCTGCAGGGGACCAGGATAATTTACACGGGCCTAACATCCAGTACAAACTACTCCTCCAATATTAATGCATCTGCGGCCTTTGGGAAGGATCTAGGGATCCTTTTGGACAAGCGACTTAACAGGAACTCCCAGTGTGATGCTGCGGCAGCAAGGGCCCTGCACACTCCTGAGGGATATAACCAGGGAGATTTTATCTCCGTAGCAAGCACGTGTCAGATCAGTGCTAAAATAATGTATCCATTGCAGGAAGACCTGGACCCAGGCATGGGCAAACCGGGTGGCTGCCCAGGGCCCAGGCAGAAAGGGGGCCTGAAAATCAAAAAAAAATTACAGTTGCAAAAATAAGTGTTAATATTACGCAAATACGGCACTGGCAACGTTATCAACTGAGAACAAACTATTTAAACACATCGATACCACAGCTGCAATAAAGGTATCTCCGCCGCACTCAGCCCCGCCCGCATCAACTGCCGAGCGGGCAGCACCAGGGGGCGGGGCGGGGCGGGGCGAGGAGACCCTGGGGTGAGGGGCGCACAACACCACTCCCCCGCAGGAAGGTACCATTGACGCGGGGGGAATCTATCCTTCCCTCTCTCCCCTCTTCTATGGAACGTGCCGTTCTAGGCCGGGCGGCCCTCTGACGCCTGGACGCCGTTTCGTCACTTCCTGTTTGGGTGGCAGTGTGTTTCCGGGGTGAGGTGTCCGCTCCCTGGAAACGGCTGCGCCCGGCGTTTCGGTGAGCGGGGTGGGGTGGCGAGGGGCTCCCGGAGGCAGCGCAGAGCCGGGGGCGGGTTGAGCTTCCGCGGGGCGAAGCGGCTGAGCCCCCGCGGCCTCTGTGTGACTGCCCTGACCCGCATCCCGGGCTCTGCTCCCCGTCAAGGAGCAGGCTCCGCGCCGGGTCTTCTCCTTGCCCGTCAGCGAGGGGCCTGCCAGGCCCTGCTCCCCGCGGGACGCCTTGGAGGTGCCCGGGACGGGCAGCACCTGGGTCGCTGCTGCTTGCAGGAAGCATTTTCCTTTCCTGCATCTGCCTCGCGGCTTCAGCCTGCGCCGCGGGAGCTCGCAGCCTCTTCAAGCGGCGCCTTTCGGAGCGTGGCGGGTCCCGAAGCAGTTGCTGGATCGAGGGGTGGGAGTGATTGAAACCTGCAGCCAGCCCCTGCTAGAATTTTGTAGCGAGGTGTTTGAAGCGTGATCAGTTGTTCGTCTAGACTTCAGCTGTGTTGCGAGAGGCCCTAAGGGTTTCAGCCGCCAAGTTCTGATGCAAACTCATTTCTGTGCCTACTAAAAATCAAAAAATTAATAAAGCCCTCCTCACGTTGTTCCATCCTAAACTTCCTTATCAGCGAAAGCTGCCGTGGTTCCCCTGCTTTACCTGTGGCAGGTTATGGTGTTAGGCAGGAGTTGTCTTATGTAGAGTTTGGGTAGGGATGGTTCCCTCTCTGGCCGGGGGTTGGACTTGAGCAGTGTTTTTCAACCCGTGGTTCACACCCTAAAAGTGGGTCGCAAGAATATATGAAAGGGTTGCAAACAAACTGTAAAAATGGATTCTCCTTTAAAGGAGACAAACATGGGAAACCATAGCTTTTCCTTTGCAGGCTGGCAGAGCTGTGAAGGGCTGCTTGGGGCCCCCCTGCCCCACACACTGGGGTGCAGGGGGGAGTGGGTTGGAAGTGAGGAGCACTCAATGTTTACAAATGGGTCCCGGTACAAAAAAGTTTGAGAACCACTGGACTAAATGACTTCTGGAGGTCCCTTCCAGCCCCACTTTTCTATGATTCTTCTGAGAAGATTGGTTTCCACCCCAAACTAGCATAAATAAATGATCTACAAGTCTAAGTCTGAAAGAGCCAGAATTAAGATCCAAGAGTTCCTGTCCCCCTGCCACCAAGTCCTGTGGGTGTTGTTAAGCAATTTACCTTCTCTATGTCCTAGTTCCCTCACGTCTTGTATTACAATAATGCTACATTTATAATCGGGGGTGTGTAGGATGGCATGTCATATGCGGCATTTTGTTTTTTGACAGACATCCTGCTAACTAATGTCAGGGGACAGTGATTGTACCAAAACAAGCCCATCTGTGGGGTCTCCATCAGATAATGAGTTTCTACCAGATCGGCCTCGGTATGTGTGCATGCTGTCTCCTGACCTTGTTGCCAAGGCTCGGGAAGAGCTCCAAGAGAAACCTGAATGGAGGCTCCGTGATGTACAAGCCCTTCGAGACATGGTGTGTAAGGACTATCCAACACTGGGCACCTGTCTGGACGATGCTTTCTTGCTAAGGTTCCTTAGAGCCAGGAAATTTGATTACGATCGAGCTCTTCAGCTTCTGGTGAACTACCACACCTGCAGGAGGAGTTGGCCTGAGGTTTTCACTAACTTGAAGCCATCTGCAATAAAGGCTGTTCTAGAATCTGGCTTTGTCACTGTACTGCCTCACTTAGATCCTGAGGGACGCCATATTGTCTGCATTCGTCCAGGTATTGAAGTGCATGAATCAACTAGTTAGAATTAAGATTTTGTGTGTCTTTGAAATGTTTTTGAATGCATCAGCATCACTGTCATGCTTGTGGACAGCGGTTTTCCTTGCAGATTGCACAACTTTGTTTTCTTACAACATTTGAAACGTTAATTTCTGAAAAGGGACATTTTTTTTCATTTCCCGCTTACATAATTTATTTTCCTATTTTAGCAATAGCGGCAGTTGAGTTAAACCAAATAATACAGCGAGGTGGAAATGCAAATACTTTGTGGCTCAGGAAGGAATATGAACATGTAGTCAGTCAGGCTGAGATAGTGATAGTCCAGCTTTTCTCCACCTTAACATGTATCACTTCCAGTAACAACAAGTTGGGAGTTGTAAGTGGAGAGGGGAGCCTGGAACTTTTACTCCAGTCTAACCATCATGAATATGTTCCTGGTGCTGCAAGGTTCGCTGTGAACTTGTTTTTGTCCTGTTTCTCTTCCAGTACAAAAGAGAAAGTAGGGGTGAAGTAGGGGGTTCTTACGATTATTGACTTTGGTCCTTGAAGTAAACTTGAGTTGCTTGTCTGTCAGCTGACTTGAGAGAGGCTGTTTTAAAGTAGCACAGTAGTTATTAGAAAAATGTTTTAAGAGACCTGGAAATATATACAAATTATTTTTGAAATGTGTCGTGGTTTACATTTACTTTCCAACTCACCATCGGTGTCTTGTAACCTTAGACAGATGGATACCCAGTCATTATCCGATTACTGAGAACATTCGTGCCATATACTTAACATTAGAAAAACTCATCCAGTCTGAAGAGACCCAAGTGAATGGAATTGTAATCCTTGCAGACTACAAAGGAGTCAGCTTATCTAAAGCATCTCATTTTGGTCCTTTTGTAGCCAAGAAAGTGATTGGAATTCTTCAGGTAAGGCCTGAACTGGTGGCTGGGGTGGACAGGAAGTCTTATGCACTGTACAACCAAATATCTCTAAACTATATTGTAAAAAATCTTCTCTGCCCCTTAGGATGGTTTTCCAATTAGAATAAAAGCTGTCAATATCATAAATGAACCTCGCATATTCAAAGGCATTTTTGCTATCATCAAGCCCTTTCTGAAGGAAAAGATAGCAAACAGGGTAAGTGTACATGCGTCTCTCACTGTTGAACTTAAGCTCTTTGTGGCTACTGAATGTAAAAAATGTTGAAAAAGATCGAACTGGTGTCATCACTCATTGCCTGTCAATGGTGTCATACTTTTTATTTTAAACTAGCACAGTATTAGAGAGACTACTCAGTAGGATTCCTTGCAGCACTGAAAGAGAATGTGGGAGAAGGGCTTTCTTTGTTACATACCCGTGCTATGTCCTGAAGGCAGTAAGGAGATGTCTTTGTGTTAGTGTTTGCTCCCATTAGTGCACTCTGTCCCCTCGCTCTCATTCCCTGTGCACCAAATCCTAGAAATACGACAGTGCAGCTGCCCTAGAATAGCTCTGAGCATGTGCCCAGCACTAATCTTAAGCTGTCTATTTTGAGTGTGCTTGTTTGCCAACTCAGAGGGCACTGCATAACAGAGCCACCTTAGACGGACCCTGAGTACATGCATTGTTCAGCTAACAACATTCCATTTGTTAACTATTTCTTTGGAACAGAACATCTTCTGAGTCATCCTTTTCCCCCCTCACCCCTTATTTTTCCTTTCCTTTTCAAAATGTTATGGTGGCAACATTCTCACCAGACAAGTAGCAAGAAATTCACCTAGAGTTGGTTGATTCTTGTGCTTTATTTGCAGAGGGAGTTGAGAGCTGTTGACTCTGTCCTCCTAGCCTTGTGAATGTTTGTAGACTCAAACTGACCTTGCAACCCAGCAGGATAACAAAACTGGAAGCCTAATTATTGTGACCAGGCTTTACTGAGTTCATCCTCCATAAGGCCAGACTTACAAAGGGGATCGAACTGATTTCTAACCTTGTTTGCACGGTGCTGTATCCTATTTATGGTCAGTGAAATTTGCAGGAATCCTATAAGCAGAGGCCTCTATTTCAAGATGTTCTTTTTGTTAAATAGGGAAATGGGTTTTTGCTGTTTTTCCTACTGAGCTAACTGCAGCTTAAAAAGGGCATCATTAACAAGCTGAAAAATTGTGCAATTCACATCTAGTTTTTAAATATCTTCCTCAGTTTTTTCTTCATGGCTCTGACTTGAACTCTTTACATCAAAACATTCCCCAAATGATCCTTCCTGAAGAGTATGGCGGGACTTCAGGGAAATTGGACATTTCTGCCTGGAATGAGTTGCTGCTGGCCTCAGAAGAGGATTTGCTGCATGACTTCTCTCAGCTGGTTCTCCCAGGTGACAGCTTACCCTGTGAGACATTGGTGAGCGGGGATGCTGGTGAGAAACAGTGTGATGACTCTCTGCGAGGTATGAAACCTCAGCTCTATTACTGTTACTGACACAGCTGAAGGAAGCTTCCTAGAACTGTCAAAAGCTACATACCCTCTCATGTTCTGAGAAAAAATAGTAGTTCTGAATTCTGCCTGATTCCTAAACCTGTAGTTCATGAATAAGCTGCAGAGGCACTTTACACTGGAACCAAAGCAAGCAGCCATGGGTAAATAGGGGCAAGGCAGACTTTACTGAGAATCTAAGCAACAGGGCACATCATTCCCAAGCTACCTGAAGTGTTGTAGATTTGTTAACCCCAGTGTGAGTGATGCAATCTGGTGCATTCCTCCTAATAACAAGACACAAATAACTCATGCTTCTGTGAACCTAATAACCTCTCTCTCATGGGGGTAAAAGGGCAGAAAATATTTGCTAGTTTGGCACCAAAAACTATAGCTTTGCCTTTGCCCTCTGCAAAGTGTAGCTCTGTCAGTGGAGGTTGTCAGAAATGTCAAATGCTTGATCCTGTCTGTGTGCTAGCACATCAGGATCAAGCAGATGTATCAGTGCTTCTTTTTGCATGTTTGAATAAAGTTCTTCTCTCAGATCTGTGGACTCCACAGTGTTGGTGCTTCTCTTCAATACTGCGTGTGCAGGTTTTCCTAGCTGTACCAAGTTCTGCCCAGTGGATTTGAAAGGAGAATTTTACTCTGACTTCAGAAAAATGTGGTAACTTGTTCCAAAGTAAACTATAGTCACACGCAAATTCCACTTACAGAGAGCCAAGAGCCTTTCAGATCTTATATCAAATAGCATTGTTTTCAAGAGGATGCAACTTTGAATACTGACAGCAATATAGGACCAAATGAAAGGGACTGAGATCACTCACTTGCGTTAAGCATGTGTCACACAGTTGCTGTTTCCTTCAGCTAATTGTGTTAATCCCCTGCCTTACTTCTAAAAGGACATCCAAAGTTGTTCTTCAGTAAAACCTGTGGGAAGATTTTGTAGCAGTCAACATTAATGTATAGAAGGCAATATTAAGAATGAGAAAGCAAGGTGCTGCTTTAGATATGTTACTCTGGGTAGAATTTTTAAATCCAAATCTTTGCAAACCAAATGCAGACAGCGTATCTTAAAAGCACATTCTCAGCTTTATTGTAAAGTATGGTTTTGTTCTCTGTATGGCTTTGTTTGTCCTGGTTTGAATAATTGCATTGCCATTTTGATTTCAGCCCTATTTCTTTTTGGCTAGCAGGTTCTTATGAGATCACTTTTGTGATCCTTAACCATAAGCTTTGTGGTCCTGTGCTTTAGATTCTTACACTGAAGTTGGGCCTGTTGAATGAGGTCAAGGTGTCCTGTCTGAGTATGCTATTCCTGACTCCTCTTGTTCCTTCTTTGTCATTGTATTGAATTGTAAATTAACTTGGAGCACATTCTCTTTGCACATGATGTTGTGCGCAGTCAAAATAGTGCACAAGTGAAACCTCACAGGATATGGAAAGCACACCCAGCCATTTAAAGGGTATTTCAGTGGACAAGAGCATTGATTGTAACTGAACACCTCATTTTCATTGCACTTTTTAATGGCTGGAATATTTTGGTGGGAGGGAGTGGGAAGGAAGGGAGGGGGATTTTACCTAGTGCCAAGGGTGAAAAAGGGATTAGTTGTCTTGATGTAAATGTGAAGTATGAGGTCTCATAGTGTTGGGACGTCTTTTTCTCAGTGTGCCAAACTGTGCTTTTTTGATTGTCTGTCTTTTTTTCCTAGGTTGCAGCACAACATGGCTTTGTGTTGCCAGAATGTTTTGGGGGAAGGAATGGATGAAGGGTGTCATGGCACCCTGACCTGGCACAAGCAGAGTTTATTATAGAGCTGAAGGAAATGCCAGCTCTCTTTCTAAAGCAATATGAGATAGGAACTAGATTTTGGAGGGAACAAAATAGAAGGTGTTTTCCAGCTGGTATCTTGCAGCTTCGGTGGGACCATGAATTTGGCATCCTTCCACCTCAGCAGAAGCATTACCAGGCTACCTCTATCATCATGTGGAAGCCTGGGAGTTGTTGAGAACCTATGGTGAAAGGAATAAAGCTCTCCTTTCTTCCTTTCATGTTTTAAGTATGAGATTTTTCTCCTCCCTTCCATCACCGCCCATACCTTTTCTTTGGGGAAAATATCATGAAGCAGATAATCTTGTTAGATGGGAAAAGTTTATTCCTGTCATCAGCCTTAATCTTGCAAGCCTGCAACTCTTGAAAAACAGGCAGAAATGCCATGTGCGCTAGTATCTGCCTCCATTTCTGAGCAGCATTTTCTTCTCAAATCTGCAGTGTAGTATTTGACTTCTGCATTCTGCCCTACATACAAGCTGCTTGGGCTTGTTGCAGAGGTTAGTGCAGCTCTCCAACTCGGGAAAATATCAAAATGAAATATTGGTGCTTTAAATCTTAGCTGTTAAACTGCCAGAAAACGGAATGAGGAATTTGCATGATTTGAGTGCCTTTCATTTGCCTGATCCACCACTCAAAAAAAATTCCAGGGTGTACAGCATTTGTCCTTGAATTGGACATGTGACAAGTTCTGTTCCTTGTTCATGATGTTATTTTGACAGATTTCCCTTTCTAGAGGAGGTCTTTAGCACCACTTAGGCCTCAGGCCAGTGAGGAAAGAAGCTCTGCATGAGAAACTCGAATCCTTTCTTAAAAACAGTGCGTTAGCTTGGTGAAAAGCCACCTGTAAGGAAACCAGGCAACCCAACCACCCATGAGGAACCCATGCTTATGCCCTCTTTTTTCATGCCTTGTAAATGGTAACAAGACTGTATTTTAGTTGTGGCTTCACCAAGCAGAGCTTTCCTGCTGGGAGAAAAATAAATGGGCTGTTTTGTTTTGGCTTTATCCCTCTTAGTTAAAATACTTGTGGTCACCTCACTTGCCTGTTTCCCATCTAAGGAACTTTTGTTCCTAGAACTGGCTGCTTTGGACTGATCTAGAGAGATGCAGTGGATATAGGAATTGGTTATTCCCTAAATATATCTTTTAAGATTCAAATTATGGGTTTGCTATCACTTCAGTAGAGCATAAGCAGATGAGACATAATACTTTCTTCATTACCATCATCTCTCATCTTTCCTAATTCTCTCTCTGTGGTAGGTACTTTACCTGCTTTCCTATAGAAAGTATATCTGCAAGAGTGTACAAAGCTGTATGAGATAGCCCTGAGACCTGTTTCTCATGTAGGAAGCAAAAGATTGAGCTAGCAGGCCAGTAGCCCTTTTGCCAGAGGTGATGGTACCAAAAAGCAAAACATTGGATGTTATTTGACAACAAATCTGTACTTCATCTCTCATGTCTCCATCTGTAATGGAAATAGGGAGCAAGAGTACTGAAGAATCTCTTTTGCAGTATTAAAATTAATCTCACATTGTTTAATTAGAACTTGAATTCTGTGGGAGGCCAGTTGATGAAAACCTTGCATTACACAAGCAGTTTTAATCCAGTTTGGGCAAATAACTTGGAGAAAGGTGTTCAAACTACCGTGGGCAACCTTAACTATCTCATGTGGCATTAAGACAAAGGTTAATTGTATACTGTAAATAAAACTACTTGAATTTATAGTCTTGCAAATGGGAGTTATGAACCCTGAGGTCTTCAGGGAACGGCTGGGGGTATGTGTCTTCTGTTAAATTCTTTCATCAGTTTCTTGGCAGATTTGTCATCTACAAGATTGGTCAAGCTAATAATTATTTTGCCTTTTGTTTGTAAGCAGGCCTAAAGGTGTTGGGCTAGGTGTACATCTGTTAATTGAAAAAAAAAGTTTATTTTTATATTGCATTTTATAAAATGGAGTGGTTAAATGTGTAATTTTATTATGCATGGCTGGATATTAAAAATTCTACTGTAACAACTTCTAGTTTGATATATCTTGTGTGCATTTGCCACACCCCTTTTCAGATTAGTTTTAATAAACATCACAGACATACTTCTTAAGGTGCCACCAGAAACTCATTTGTTTCAGATTCCTTTTCAAATATAAATATAAGCTTTACATTTTAAGTTGTGTAAATCAGTGTGAACTGCTATTAATTTCTAGACTCTTCCTCAGTGGAAAGTTGAAAATAGAAGTTCTGAAATTCCAAATCCACTGTCACAGTGCAAAGACTTTGCGATTTGGAAAAGAAACTAAGATAGAGACAGCTTAGGGAAGAGGACCTGGAATCCATAGGAGAAAAGATTGATTCAGTTCCTACACTCTAGAATGCAGAAGAGAGTATCAAAAGACACTGGAGAGACGCACAGGTTTTGTTGGAATCTGTAGTTTTGTGCTACATGGAACTAGTGAAAAACAACATTTCCATTTTAGAAAAAAAGTCATCAGGTTTGTTTTTCACCCCCAATCAGTGTGGAATGCTCAAAATTGCAACTTCCTTTTCACAGACTAAAAACTGAGTCAGCGGATACCAGCCCCACATGGCCTGTGCCTTTATCCCCCCTTTGAAAAATTTCCAAGTAATTTTTCTTCAGGGAAAGATGGCATGATAAGTGAGTGGTGGGAGATTGTCCTCTGTGCCCTACAGAGTGACACTTTATCTGGAAGCGCAGTGGTATTGTGGCACATCTGGATGTGGCTTTCCACCATCACAGAAAGTGTGACTTCTTAATCCAGATGTGATGGTGGGGACTTCAGGAGCCCTGTATCAGATTCCCCACCACTGGACTGGTTTTCTGCCTCCCTTGCATGATCAGATACAGGCTCTGCTACCTTATCCAGTGCCTATTCTGGAGAGTTAGCAGTTGTACATGAAGTCAAGAGTGCAGTGGCATGAGGTGGTTGCAGCACTGGAGTAGGCAAGGCAAGTCTAGAAGCATCTCTATATCTACGTGAAAGAGCAGAGGGAACAGTTCTTTCAACAGCAACTGAAACAGCCCCAACTTAGGGCTTATCTTACTCCTGAGCTTTTGGGCCCGGGAGAAAGGGTCTGTCTTAACCTGTCTGTTAATTGGGAACTAGGACTTATAATGCTGCTACCTCATGCTGGCTTCCAGCTCCACACAATGCAAATATGCACGTTAGTGTAAAGTACCCAAAACCACTTTTAACACCTGCTGCTCTTCCTCTGGCCCTGATCCTCCTCCTGGAGAAGCTGTGAAGAGTCCATCAGTATTTATGGTCAGTATCTGAAATGGCTTTATCCACATTTTGCTCTTTCAGTGGCAGGGAGTGGGGGGAACAAGGGAGGCCTGTGGGATCAGTGATCTTGGGAGCTATGCTGAAGGCCCTACTAGTCATCCATCCAAGCTGGAGAAGAGGACACCAGCTAGAGCCAGGGCAGGTTAAGAGCAGTTCACTGTCCCTCTCAGCGCATGTGATGAACAGCAGGCCAGCCACCCAGCCTCATACAAGCTACATTCCAACAAGTCACTGGACTACCATAATGTATACGCAGATGACCCAGAATCACTCTAAAGTCCCCACAGGAACCAAATACCTCCCCCTCACTTACTCCACTTTCATTCCCTGAGATTTCTACACAACCCAGTCAGAGCAGCTGGGAGATTTATGAAGAGAGTCTCTGACCACAGAACATGGTGTTGTTCGCTCATTAGAAAGAAATCAGGGAAAGAAATGAGTGAAAAAGGCAAATTGTGTGTCATTCTCCAACCCCCAAACTAAATGCAGCAGTTAGTTGGTTAGAAGAGGCAGCACAAGTCATTCAAAAATCATTTAGCTCATGCCAAAGTAACATTCTTCCCCCTTGATGCTATGCAGGGTGGTTCTTCCTTGTGTTGTAGCACTACAGCCTGGGGCTGACTGTGCTCAGAGGCTGCTATTTCAGCCAGGCAAGGTTCTTTGAGTAGATGTGATATCATTTATTAGACCAACTAAGTAGCTGGAAAAAAGTTCTTAGCAAGCTTTCACATGCAGTCACCCTTCTTCAAGCATAGGAAGTCTTTGGTGCCATTTCAGCCACCATTTCTCACTTTTTCACCTGCTGTTCCCTGGGCTTTCTTGGTCTCTGAGGAGGAGAAACCTGTTCCAATTTTGCATGAAGATTTTAGTAATACTGCTTTCTTAATAGTTCTCCACCCTGATGCCTCAGAGATGGTGATCTTCCACAGCAGACGTGACACACCAGGGATTGCATAGTGATATCACTTTGTTCTCAGAAGTGGCTCTGCAGCAGGTATAGCAAGGAAATTACTTGTCTGATCCCTCTGTCAGCCTCACTAACCAGCTTACACAATCTGTGACAGTCAAAGGCCACAAATGGCTTTTTCCTGAGCAGATGTGAAGCACTGCAGACATGACTTAAGTACCCATCCACTCAACAAGGTCTCTTGATGTCAGCTTTTCCTATTGACTCTCTTTCCTCACCAATACCACTAACAAAGAATTGTGCATGTGCAAGATAACTCTCTGTTTGAGATCATAACCAGGAAGGCCAATTCATGACCTTAAGAAGAAACACAAATGTTAAGAAAAACTTAAGGATGTGATAGCAGGACTGGAACCATGTTCAAGTGAGAATTCAAACTAACAGCTATAAGAATAGCAAGAATTTAAGATGAAAGTCTAAATATTTCACAACTATGTTACCTCAAACCTCATGCTATGAAATTGTTAGTGGAGCAGTATAAAAGTCTACAAGGTGAAGTAACTCAGCTTACTTTGCTGGTCTCTGATTCAACATACAAGTTAATTTCATGAAATGCTGCAATACAACTCAAAGAGGATTAGAATGAATATAAATTAGCATGGCAGACCACTCTGTCTTTTAAATCGCATGACACATTGCTTTATCTATTAACATACTTTTAAGCACATACACATCCTCTTGGATCTGAGGAACCACCCCAGCTGCTGTTATTAACCATCCTTTTATCTCCTGTGGCATTTTGAATCACAAAAATGTTCTTTGCTTCCTGCATTTGCCAGGAACAGAGTTCAAGAAAAGCTCTATACAATTAAAAATCAGTATTTTATTCAAATGAGTTTACAGTGCAAATGTCTCAGATGCCAATATTGATAGCTGTGTGCACTATTGCTTATAAGCATGCCATACAAATAAGCAGAAGAAACAAGCTTTGTTATTTTTGCAGCATGATCTTCATTTTAAGGTTTCTGTTTGTTTTTTTGTTTTGTTTTGTTTTTGTTTTTTACAAACAATCACATATGCCCATCAGCAAAAGAGAATATTTGGCAAACTTACTAAATCAAGAAGCAGCGTCCATAAAATTTGCCTCTTACAAACAAGCAATCTAGAAGTTTCTTCTGGAATAAACAGGACCTGCAATTAACAGCTACCCAACGTCACCACTTTGTTTTCCTTGAATGAATGCATAAGCTTCTACCCAGAAACAGAAAGACAGACAAACATTTGCAGTGGAATGTAGAAACAACTGTGCAGTATGGCTTATGCTTCCATGTGGACCATTAGTACACCAGTGCAGTGCGGGGAATAGAACTTGTTCTTTAAAATATATTACTTTGGGTTTAGCAAACATTATTCTTCCTCAATATTTTCTACTGGGGCTATTGGTTAGTAGAGTTTTTTTTCTTCCATGCTTTAACAGCACAGCTGTTGTAGGTTTTTAAAAATGTGTTAGTAAGCAAATTTTACTTAGGCAGCAGGTTAAATAAAAACATATTGACATTAATATAGCTTAGATCATGCATCAAGCATTATGTGATCGATCAGGTTTCTAACCACCTGCAGGTAGTTTCAATATGGGGTGGGGGAGAAGAAAGGTACTATATGCCTTAGTTTCAGAAAATAACTGAAGCAATTGCACAACCTTTTGGCTTTCAAAGGAGGCTCACACACTTCCACAATCTTGGACAAACCCAAAACATTTAACTGAAGTCTCGATTTGTAAGGACAAGAGGAGCCATTAGTGTCCAGGCATAAAGGAGGAGGCAGACCCAGCTTGAAGTTATCTTCACCCACACAGCCGGCCACTTGCTTGTCATAGTTTTAAAGTCTGCATCAGGGCTATAATGGAAAAAAGAGTTGATTAGTGACCCAAGCCAATGGATATAGGCAAACACCTGTTCTCACCTCCCTCTCTAAGCTTCCGACTTTTAAGATGCAACACATTTAGGACATTCTAACACTCTGTACCCAGTCTTGTAAGTCAGGGGTTCCCAACCTTTTCATACTGAGGGCTGCAAACTCACTCAAAGAATTCTGGTGGACCAGGTACAAAAACAGTATTATTGACATATTTAAATTATTTTTTGTACATTGCGGGGATAGCAAGAGAAGCTGGGTCTGCTTGGTAAGTCTGTTGTGGGGGACAGGGCACGAGGGGGCATAGATACAGGTCCCAGTGGTGGGGGAGGGAGTGAGGCTGGGGCAAGGGCTGCCCAGCTGTGACAGGGCACCAGACTGAGCTGTGCACAGGTAAGGGGCGGCTCCTGAAAATTCCCAGGCTCCTTGCAGGGGTTTCCTCCCTCCTCAGCAGCTGCAGCCCAGGCTTGCACACCACCAGGGCAGCTTCTTCCTCCAGTAGTCCCAGCACTGAATTCCCCACCCCACACCATGCAAAGCAGCTCTCAGCCTGCACTGTACAGCCCTGCAGGTATTTGCTGCTGGGCCCCTGCACAGAGCAGGTGCTGCCAAGCTGCTTGCCCCAGCCCACCCTGCCTCATGCAGATCTGGGGGCATGCACCCCGCCCAATACCCTCTCAGGGTGCATGCCTCAGCAGAAGCCACCCATGCTGCCCCAGATGAACTGTGGCCTCCCTCCCATCACACCACACCAGACTTAAAAGCTGGACACAGCCAGGGCTGCACCAGGCTACACTCCAGGCAGGCAGTGGCAGTGCTGGGAGCAAAGGCTATCAGGAGGCTGCAGCCACCCAAAAATTCACTGTAGCCCCTGCTCCCAGTGCTGCCACTGCCTGCCCAGAGTGCAGCCCAAACCCAGCTCACTCCACCACACACAGATATGGGGGCATACGCCTCCCCCATGCCCTCCCAGACAAG